GTCTTTGTCACCTTTTTCACCCATGATGAGTTTGCATCTCTGATATGTGTATATATATATGTATAGATTTAATTTTTGCTTGTTTTCATGTTCTACAGCTTATGGGAAGGAAGGAGTGAAATTGAATTTTGTCGATCGGATCTTTGTCGGAGAGCTGACCAGTACGATAATGTGTGAAGAGTGTGAACATGTAAGAGTTTCTCATATGTAATGTACAATGTCCACATGCAAAGCCAGATTATATCATTCACTTTTTTTAAACAATTTTATTTAAAATAAAATAAAATGTTTTATTAAAATTATGCATTTTAAATGTTACATTATTTTAAATGTATACTATTAATTTAATTTATAATATATGCCTTTAAATTTACTGTATTATAAACTGTATTACATTTATAATATAATATGTGATATGTGTAGAATATATAATATGTAATATAAAATTGGTTTCATAATGTATGTTTATGAATTTTTGTATTTATTTTAATAGAGTGACTACTAATTGTACTAATTGTAATGTTTAACATGCTTATATGATTCACTCCTAGATTTCCACAGTGAAAGAAGCCTTCATTGATATTTCCCTTCCCATCATAGAGGAAAGGGTGAGACCAGCCTTAATTTATTGTTCGACAATTGTAAAACATCTGTTCCTTTATTTTATTTGCATGTAATATTCTGTCCATGCGCTAAATGTGCTGAGTTGTCTTGAATCGAGTGATGTCGTTTGAGGGTTTGTCGGTTTTCTTGCCCAGATCTCTAAGCCCACAAACCCTGCTAGACTAGGGAAAAGTGGGCGGGAGCAAGATGGTCTGGCCTCCCATGATGACTCATCAGCTGCCCACTCACACACCAATCGAAACAGCCGAAGGTTAAGTGGACAGGTAGATGGAGCCATTATTATAAAAGAAGCATTGTTAGTTCTTATACACTAGTGTTCAAAAGTTTGTAGTCTGTAAGATTTTTTAATGTTTTTGAAAAAAGTATCCTATGCTCACCAAGGCTCCGTTTATTTGATCAAAAATACAGAGTACAAACACTAATATATTTTTTTAATATTATTACAATTTAAAATAACTGTTTTCCATTGGAATATGTTTTAAAATGTAATGTATTCCTATGATGGAAATCAGATTTTTCAGCAGCCATTACTCCAGTCTCCAGTGTAACATGATCATTCAGAAATCATTCTAATATGCTGATTTGGTGTTAAAGTGCCCCTATTATGCCATTTTGATTATTGCCTTTCATGCAGTGTGTAATGTAGCTGTATGTGAATGTAAACAATCTATAACGTTGTAAAGCCGAAAGTGCATGATAAATAAAGTTATTGTCTCCCAAAAGAAAGTGACCCTAAGCACACAGCTAAAATAACGAAGGAGTGGCTTCCCAACAACTCTGTGACTGTTCTTGAATGGCCCAGCCAGATCCCTGACTTAAACCCAATTGAGCATCTCTGGAGAGACCTAAAAATGGCTGTCCACCAACGTTTACCGTCCAACCTGACAGAACTGGAGAGGATTTGCAAGGAGGAATGGCAGAGGATCCCCAAATCCATGTGTGAAAAACTTGTTGCATCTTTCCCAAAAAGACTCATGGCTGTATTAGATCAAATGGGTGCTTCTACTAAATACTGAGCATTTTTCAGTTTTTCTTTTTTAATAAATCTGCAAAGATGTCAACAATTCTGTGTTTTTCTGTCAATATGGGGTGCTGTGTGTACATTAATGAGGAAAAAAAATTAACTTAAATGATTTTAGCAAATGGCTGCAATATAACAAAGAGTGAAAAATTTAAGGGGGTCTGAATACTTTCCGTACCCACTGTATATATAACAAAGCATGCTTCAAAATATTTTATCCCAGAGCTGAGACCCCTTAAGCCAGTCACCAGACAATGGACACCACAATATTTATGTTGATTAGCCAATAGGATCCCTGCGTACAATATGCTAATTAACATCAATTAATTATCACCAATTAGCTGTTGAATAAAAATTGCTAAGAATGGGGTGCTCAAGTGAGCTCAACTTCTTAAGAGAGTGTGGTGGCCTAGTTATTTTAGGGTTTGTGTGATTAATTAGTGTGTGTTGCAGCGGGATACGATACAGATGGGGGTTTGGGGGGTTGAGTGGCTGATGGTGAGGGATTAACCAGGCTTTTGACCTAAATAGCCCATTCCGAGCGTGGGGATGGGACAATGGGGGAGACCGGTTGAGCCCCACAGACATCGCCACCACGGCCAATTATCTATTGATTGGTGCTTTACTGTGACTGTGTCTTCTAACAGCTCTCTCACCAACACAGTCACTGACCATGTCACCTCTCATTAAGACCACAGGGACACTCACTTTCACAAGTCTTTATGTCCACACATACATGGGATATACAATGCATTTGTTGTGTAAAATATGTGAAGCACACATTTACTTTACACCACGTGTTCATGGCCTTGTGTTTGCTTTAGTTTATTTACCGCAATAAAAACCTGAGAAAAAAGAACGCGTCCAAGGGTGAAGATTTTAAAGTCTGAGGTGGAAAAATGGTCGTGACTTATTTAATTTGTTTATGGATGTCAAATGCGTAATGTCAAAAGTAATTTTTCATAAATAACAAAAACATTGACATTTTGTTTTTCTTTATTTAATTAAAATCTTAACTTTTCATTATTTTAAGATAAGAACGGTGATAATTCTGCTGTGCCTGTTATTTTGAGCACGATAAAGGAAGCTTTTTGTGACAGCAACTGTTTGAGCTTCATTATCTAACAAAGTGGCATCACATTGTGTTTTCATTGACAGCGCATTAAAGCAGGCATCCTCAAAGCCTTTAACAACCCCACGGAGAAGACAGCTGACGAGGAGACGAAACGACAAGTGAAGGGTGCTCCATCTATGCTTCCACCTGCTTTTCACATCATTCAGAACAATATTGCCATCTAGTGACAGCTTGCATTCACAAGATTCTAAACATAATGGCACTATTTACATGAAAATATCATTTTAAAAAGGATCTATCATTTGTGTTCTGAGTTGTTTAAATGTGTTTTATACACATATAACATAAATATATAATATAAATCAATTTATATAAATATATATATATAATTCACCTTTTTGAGATCAAAATAGGTCACCTACAAGATTAGTGTAGAAAAAAAAATTCTCATTGGATGGATTGCGGGAGGGGGGTGGGGTCTTTTTACAGTTCCTGTAGTACCAACTCAATTCTGTGCCCGCTCTTAGTATTTAAATTAACCCAACTAGGCTGTTGGTGTCTGGGCTTATTTATATATTTTTAAATGACATGAGACTTTGTGACTACCTGCACTTGCTATACTTTTATAGTCATTTAAAAAAAAAAAATCCAAAAGCAAGACGTGAAAAAAACTAGGGAGTTGAAATGGCAACTGAGCTAATGGGTGATCCTCTGCTGCCATCTACTGGATATAATGGCAGTTTAATGTCATTTTCATCTTAAAGGTGACATATCGTGAAAATCTGATTTTTCCAGGTTTTAAGTTCTATAATCAGGTCCCCGGTGCATCTACCAATCAAGGAAACGTGAAAAAGATTAACTCAGTAACTTTGTTTTGATAAGCTGTTTTCTGCAAGCGTCTGAAAAAACGAGTTTGTCTGATTTCGCTCCCCTAGTGACGTTGCAAAGGGATCTCATTATAATATTACCACCCCTTAATCTGTAAGTTTCCACCCACGGCGCTGTCATTTTGATTTCGCAAGCGACAACGGTTTACCAGTTCTAATGCCATGGCGAAAGTTTCCCAGCCTCAGAGGAGACAACAGAGCAGTGGATTTATTGATTAATTTACTGTATATTGCTGCTGCCACACAGATCTAAAATAAACATGCGATTTATTTCCCAGCTGTTTACCTTCACAGTCATAACCGACTGTTTTTGTAACTTATGCGTGTTTTTAATGTAAACTTGTGTGTGAATGAGAACTTAGTTTAGTACTCACATGCTGTGACAGCCGCTTTCTGTCCGTGTGCACTCAGAAACCCGAA